GATTTTACTACAATGTTGTTGGTAACAGTTATTATTTTTCTGTGAGTATTTTACTTCTTGCTTAACATTTGTAAAAACTTAGAAACGCAAAAAAATCATATAGATTGAGCACTATCTTTATTAAAAAGGCAGAGTATTACACTTCTTTAACAAATAAAAAATTAAAATACTAATTTAAATAACACTTTCATTACATTATTTTTGATAAATTGATTTATACAAAAATTTCTGTGCAATAACAATTCATTAACTAAATAATTAAAGAACTAAATCCATTAATTAATTAATTAAACAACTAAATATTTAATAGTGTCACAAAGTTGAAAGCAAAGTTAAAGTTCTCTATTGTTTAGCTAAATAACAATTGATTTTACTTTATATTTTGTTTATTAATTTTTAGTTTTTTTAAATAAAGAAAAATAAATAAATAATTTTTTTACTTAGCAAAGAAAATTTAGAAAAACAGAGAACTAATATCTACATAGAATAAAGCTAAAGTTCCCATGCCTCAACATAACATAAAATAAAGCTAACAGTCTAAATAAATATTCTGTTTTTTTGTTTATTTTTTTACGCTTTATTTTAAAAGAATCAGTGAATTTTTTTCTGTTACATATTTCTTCTGTTACCTATTTAAATTAAAGTTCAATAAAGTTAGCTAAAGAAAAATTAAACTTTCTTTTTTCTAATTTTATGTTATTTGTAAATAACAAGTATATTTTACATAACAATTATTTAAACTTTTTTAATAATAATTTGCAGTTTTTAAAACATTAATCATTTTATTCAATTATTTAAATGCTAATTACTTTTAAAATGCTAATATATTTATATACTAATATATTTAGATGGTTTATGAGCTCCTAACCTTATCCACAATTAACTTACAACTTTATAGTTTAGGTAAGATGCCTTTTCTTAAAGCTAAGGAACACTTTTTCCACAATGTTTATTTGCGTCACTTATATAAAATAAGTCCTTACTTGAACATCATTAAAAGCATTTGTAGTGTCAAGCAACGGCTCAGGTGTAGTGACAGAAAAAGTAGTATAAATTCTTTTGAGACTAAAAGGTAAAAAATTAAAAAATAAGAAAAACTCAATTTAAAAACAACAAATTTTTTATATAAAATATCATCATGAAATGATTCATATTTTTTAAATTTTTATATATACATTTTATATAAATTTATATAAATTTACATTTTATATAAATTTTTATATATACATATATATATATATATATATATATATATATATATATATATATATATATATATATATATATATATATATATATATATATATATATATATATATATATATATATATATTATTATATATATATTATTATATATATATATAATAATAATAATAATAATATTTGTATATATGCATCGACTATATATATATATATATATATATATATATATATATATATATATATATATATATATATATATATATATATATATATATATATATATATATATATAATATATATATATATATATATATATATATATATATATATATATATATATGTATATATATATATATATATATATATATATATATATATATATATATTATAATAATAATAATATAATAATAAATACTGTCTACCAACCATGGTACAAGCATACAAATATGACTAGTAACTACTAAAACAGAAATTTGGTGTTTATAATAATACAGAGTACCATTTTTTAACCAAGTCAGTGCTTATCATGTATCTGTTGTATTTGTACTAGTAGTTACTAGTTTTGGGGCTCATCAGCAACAATGATACTCCATATTATTATATACACCAAATTTCTGTACCAGTAGTTACTAGTTGTATGTGAGTTCTCGTATTTTTTACTAATTGGTACTTTTTTATATATTGAGGTTTTTTCACAATTCGGTGTAGAATTGTAGCACTACAAGTATAAGTGATCTGCGAAGAAGGTGAGCTGTTGTGTTTACACGCTTTCAGTATTACATCATCAAGCTGATGAGCCTCAAAGGGAGAAATGTATATATTTTGAATAACTATAGACAGTATATACTGTCTATAGTTATTCAATTGACAAACTTTTTTTTTTAATTCTTCAATTTAATAATATTTTAATTTGATGTTTATTTTTAAATAGTTTAATAATTTTGGATTAAAATTGTCTAATAAAAATCATAAAAATAATAAAAATGCAAGCTAAAGATTAAACCCATGTGTATGTATATATTCAATATACATCCAATGTGCATCCACTAAAAAAACAAAAAATAAGTAAAAAGGTCCTCTTTTTGTGAAATTCACCATCTGATGAAAAATACCGAAAGTTAAGGCTGCAATTATATGGATGAAAAGTGAAAAAAAATATTGTGATGACCCATGTGAATCACAGTGACAGATCAGATATCACTTTTAGGTTATTCAGTACTATTAGTATTTTATTCATGTAAATCCAAATGCAGATATCGTATTAGTAACTCAGCAAATTAGTAATAATATAAAATCATCAATAATCCTATTGGAAAAGACAACTTAGTTAAACTTCCATGATTTGCAATGAAACAAGTCAAAAATGAGTGTTCCATAAACATAGGTGTAGCACTTGAAAAAGCTTTACTACATGACATTAAACATCTCCTGAAAAATGATGTTGAAAAGATATCTTGATTAACAAACGCAATAGGCCAGTCAAAAGTAAAAATCATTAGTGATGATGCGGACTCAAAAAAAAATAATTAATTTGTCTTGGGGTTGATAGCAAGTTTGATCAGATAACTAAAACAAGTAAAATAATAAACTCACCTCAAGGAGATGTACTAAGAAATACATTGAATCTGAACATAACCTCACATTTACTTATGAAGATGAAATAACAAATGGAAATTATTTGACTCATAGGACGATTCCTGTCACTGGTGCTACAGGCTTAGTTCATTTAACAGTTAAGAAAGTATACAAGCTGTTCTTCTTGATAATACTGCAACCAATACTGGACCAATAAGTGACTTAGTAGTGAAACTAGAGGAGTTTTAAAAAAGAAAACTACACCTAATTAGATGCAATTAGGTGTAGTTTTCTTGCTATCAACCCCAAGACAAAATGAACTTCCAGTACAAGCTCTTTTTATAAAACTTGATGGTAACACAACTGAGCCAAAAGCTTCAGTGGTCGATTTAAGAAAAGATGTGCTGAAAATATTCGGGATAGAAATCGTTTTGTTTGAACATATTGAAAATCCAATTGTAGATGGACATATTCCAACAGAAATACTAATAAACCTTAGTTGGGATCAAAGACTTTTATTTGAATATTGCAAAGGAATAGGATTTGGTAAAGTTTCTGATAGATGGGCTACCTATAAAATTGGACCGTTTAACCATACAAGGTGGGTAATTCCTGCTATTCACCTTCTCTGTTTATATACTACAAGACAATCAACCAACCATTTTTTTTAAAAAACTTGTATATTATATTGTTTATGCTCGAGTATCTTCAAAATTCCATGAATTCCTGTGCTATATTTTTTCTACTATTACTAGAATAAATAATCTCTCCTTTAATGATGTTAAATTTATTGTTAAATAAAACATTAAAAGCAATGCATTGTGCCTAAAACCTGTAAATATTCTTTATGCCATGCTAAAAGATAATGACAGAAAGATACAAAACTTTAGTTTTTAAACGCTATTGGCTCTAAAACAAAGGTATTTTTTGATAGTTAACTAAAATAAAGTTTTGAAAAAAAAATACATTAATGTGATATTTGGCTTCAGTTTGTATTTATAGAGTAAACAACAAAACTTTGAAAGTAAATTTGAAGAAAATTCCACAAATTAATTTTAATGATAATCATTGGTATAAATTAGTTGACATCAGCATGATAAAAAGTCATGGAGCCCCCTACAACACAACACTTTTTAACTGACCAAATCCAATATATGATTGACAATAATGTTAAAACTAAAATTCCTGACTTTCCATCTCATTCTCAGAGTGTTGAGCGAGCAGAAAAATCTAGTGTCAGAAGCATTCCAATATGTTTATGGGTTCGAGAATTGACACAGCTGCATTTTTAACCAAACTACTAAGCAGGAAGATGTGTAAACAATATATTTCTAACGGACATTAGTGCTATTCTTATGATGGTGTTTTCTAATTAAAATTGTTTTTCTAAAAATATATCCCTGTTCAAAATGTTTTAAATTGTGAAATTAATGTTTATTTTGATAATCTTATGCAAATGGAATAAAAGTTTTACTATTAAATCTTCAAATAGTTTACAATTTAGTTAAATTGTTACAAATTGTTATAAATTTAGCTTAATTGTTATAAATTATTATAAATTTAAATCATTCAGCAATGCAAATAATATTAAAAAACATTTAAATATGAACATATTTAAAACGTCAATTTTTGCTTTAATTTTTTTTAATTTTTTTTTTTAATCTTAAATATTTATAAAAACAATTATAAAATATTATCATATAAAGAAACAAATGTAAACAAAAAGTTATTCTAACTTTGCAAAATATTCATCTGTTTCTTGCTGACATTTTCCATGCCTTAAATAGAAGAAGTAACATAATAGATTTCACTCATTAAATTCAAAACAGACAAATAAATCAAAACAACTAAAATCAGAAACATACCTTAAAAAAAGATCAACAGCAAACTTAGTGTTATCAAAATAGTTGAAATCGGAAGCATACCTTAAAAATTAAAAAAAAACAATCTTAGTGCTAAGACACGGTTTACATATGGTTTGTCAGAAAAATTTATAAAATTGAAAAACAATTTTCTTAACACAGACTCTGGCCCAATTATTAGGAAAAAAATTATAAATAAATTCCCTCATACAATATATTTTACATAAAAGTATTATATATAATACATATGACATAATAAATAAATTTATTTTATTGATACAATACAGTATCTTATTATATAATATATATATTTTATTGCACTATGTATTTATAAAATACTACGCACTTTTGAATATTTGTTCTTTTCAAGTTTAATCAAAATTCAAAATTTGATTTATAAAATTCACTTTATTGATATTTTCTTTTTAGCTCCAGTGTGACCAGAGACTATTTCATTACTAATAATGCCTATTATTAAGCTTTAAACAAGCAACTAAATAACTTTGATTGAAAATCTGCTAAATTAATGTTCACAAATACCGTAAAATTGATATCTTCTGCAATAACTTTAAAATTCAGTTATTAATAAAACAAAATTTTAACCATTGTATGACTCAATTTTTTATGTTAATTAGATTTACAAGCATTACTAAAACCAGATATTGAATTTTTATCTTTCCTTTTGTATAGTTAGAAACTGTGGTATAAAACAATATAAACATGAATATGATTACATAAAAAACTAATTATATGTTTATCTTGTGTTAATGTACCGATGATTCTTAAATAGTGTAATGATTTTCTAAACACTAGACTCAAGTTTGATTTATTTGATAAATCTAAATTTTTATTGAAAACATGTTGAATTTAAGTTGAAATAATATTTCTTTTCATAAAACACTCATAAGCAATTTACTCCCATATAAAAAAAAAACATAAATTGGTTCAAAGCTACATCCATTTCTATGTTTGTTTTCCATAATATTTTGCTAGCTACATTCACTTTGACTAAAATGTGATACCATTTTGTCAATCTCATTTTGACATCACTCCACTTTTAAGCCTCAAGTCTGTTACAGTTTGACTAAAATCTTCTAATGCACAATCTACACCAGTGGGTATGGATTGCTTTAACACTGTCTTTATAACACTCCCATCGTGTTTCCAAATGTGGTTTGGGTGATAAATAAGGTCCAATACAATATTTATACTTGCAGGTTCATATTTTGAACCTGCAATTGTAGTGTATATTTCTTGTAAAATGCCAAAAAAGTTTACGGCTTTACTTAATGATTTGGTAATGTCAATGTCCTTTGATTTTCTTACAAAATCAAAACTTGTTCTCTCTGATATTTGCTATTTATTTTGGCTCGATTATTATAGCCATATCCTCTGTAGTCCAACAACTTGAGCCCTTGATAGTAAATTTTTTCTAAAAAAGTTTCTGTCAAGCCTTTTCCTGCTGTATCATGAACAGCTAAAAAGTTTAGGACTGCTCCACTATTTAAGTCTTGTTTGTCAATAACAACAATGCGAATAACAACAGACAAATGTTCTTTGAGGTTTAAATTAGGAGTACAAGATGCACTCATTATTATTTTTTAATGTAAAATGGAAAATGAGTTTTTTAGTTAGCTGAGCATACAATTTGCATGAAAAATAATATGCAGAACTTTTTGTCCAAGAGTATGCAAACTAACTTCTTGACATTATTCCCCTTTTTTTTTGGCACACGCTGGTAGTGCTTAACTGAAAATGACCTATTACTAGGTAGTTTCCTGAAGATCTAAGCAATTTATTGCTTAGATGGTTTTTAATTTGTGTAGGGCCATTACTTAACAAAGAAGATCCTGATATTATCACTCAAGATATTTGGGCACTATGCAGGATCTTGAAAACTGCTTTGATTATCTGTTTTTATAAAATTTCTCTCGACGTCAAGGCTTGGAATCTCCTACAACTTTTCTATTGGAGTGGTATTATGGTACTTCTGCACAATATTTTCAGGGGAGAGGGGGAAAGCTTAGTACAGGGTTAGCATGGATGCACAGGCAAATATTTAGCCGTTTAAAATCAATTTTAACTTTTGAATGCAGACAACAAATGATGTTTACAATTACTTTTTATATAGAAAATATGGAAAGGTTTAAAGCTTTTGTTACTCAGATTGGGTCCCAATAAATTTTTTTGTTATTTGTTTAGTCGACTAAACAAATGGCGGGATAGCTCAGATGGTTAGAGCGTTAAGGAAAAGTTAAAACCCAGTGTAGTATGAGATTTTTACTCCCGTGTTTTTTTTTACTCCCCAGTAAAAATATCGTACGAAGTTTTTACCGCGGAGTAAAAAAAAGCATATGAGATTTTTACTCTCACTATTTTATTTTTACTCTCTAGTTGTTATTAGCGGAATTGCATATCAATAAAACATGCTCTCTAGATTTGCAGACATTTTTAGTTACTTAAAATACCAAATATATCCAAAAGAAGTTTTAAATATAGGCGATAAAGCCAATTTTAGAAGACAAACTAAGCCATTTATAGTTGTTAATAATGAGTTATATCATTTAAATAAAGCTGCAAAGGTATGCTATTATTTCAAAATGTTTTAATAGTTTTGTCATTTTGCAACTAGAATCTAGTCACCAAATAAACACGAATATTTACAAATAATTTATTTAATAAATAATGAAAATTAATTTAGTTTTGATTCTCATTATATTGATGGTTTACAGCTTCTTTTTTTTATAGAGAAAAGTTATTTGGAGTAGAGATGAACAACAAAACATAATAAAGTTAATTCATGAAGGAAACGATGTCTCTGTTGAGTCTAAAGCTTTATCTGGTCATACAGGTATTAATAACACAACCTATCACATTCAAAGTAGATTTTTCTGGTATGGAATGATAAAAGATATTACAACTTATGTTTCCAAATGTGACCAATGCCAAAAGTCAAAGAACAGAAAACTTGAGTCGAAACCATTGCTGCAAAATATTTCAATTCCTAAAGGCAATATGAAGCAGGTAGGAATCGATTTAACACAGCTACCAGAAGTTAACGGTTGCAAATATCTGGTTGTATTAATCGACTACTTCAGTAAATGGGTTGAAGCAGAAGCACTTACCGATAAAACTGCTAAAGCTGTGGCTTTTTTTTTGTATAAACAGATTTGTCGACATGGCTGTTTTGAAATTCAAATAAATGACCAAGGTTGTGAGTTTGTAAATGAAATTTCTAAAGAACTTTACTCAAAAACAGGAACAATTCAAAGAATTACAAGTGCATATCATCCTCAAGCTAATGGATTAGTAGAGAGACAAAATCAAACAATTAAACGTATATTAGTAAAAGTGCTTGATGAGGCTGCTTTGGAATGGCCATACATTATTGATAGTGTTTTGTTTTCTTTAAGAGTTAGAAAGCACAAATCTACTGGGTTTTCACCGTTTGCATTGCTTTACCAAAGGGAAGCAGTTCTTCCTATTGATATAGATTGCAATTTAATTGACTTTAATGATAGTAACGCTCTTAGCAATGATGATTTCTCTAACAAAAAAATAGTTTCAGATACCTTTCATGCAATGAATAAAATGAAGAATAAAATTTTTGACGATGCTTATAAAAATATTGAAAAATCTCAAAAAGACAAAAACATGATTACGACAAGAGAATTGCACCAAATAATGAAATTAGCATAAATAAAAAAGTGTTACTAAGAAATAGCAGACGTGATGATAGAAAAGGTGGTAAACTTGTAAAGCCTTGGACTGGACCATACATTGTAACTTCTATTTCTAGCACAAATAACTGCACTTTGAAAAATCTAAAGGGTCAAATTTTGAAAACAAAGTACAACTTGACAAAGTTATGTTTATATAATGAAAAAATAACTAATGATGAACAAGAAATCACACTTGATGAAATTAATATGCAAGTTTCTAATGATAAGATCGGAAAATATGCAACTATTGAAATGAGAACTTCTATTTCTGAAAAATTTGGAATTGGTATTACCAAAAATATTTTTATTGCAGATATTAATCTACTTTCACGTCCGAAACAAATTCACAAAACCATAGGCAATGGTAATTGCTTTTTTAGGGCAATATCGTATATCATTACAGGCAGTGAATGCAGTTATGAAATTATAAGAGAAAAAGTTGTTAAACATATGTGTACTCATATTAATAATGAAATGACTTTATATATGAATCAATCAATAATAACGTATCTAAATGAAAGTGGTATGAGTGATAACACAACTTGGGCAACTGATGCAGAAATAATTGGGTGTGCCTCGTTCATGGGTATTGATATAAAAGTATATAGCAAATATGGAGAGAAGTTGAAATGGCTGACTTACCCATGTAGTTTAACACTTACACAGCTTAGTGAACATGCTATATTCCTTGACAATTCAACTGCAAGTCACTTTAATGTTGTACTGTTGTAAAATATTATCAAAAAAAAAAATAATTTATAAATTATCTTCTTTTCATAATTTTTAGACATTTTTTAAATATATTTTTATTTTAAGTCTGTAAATAAATGTTTTAAAAACGTAAAAATAAGCGAATTTACAACGGTATGTAGGAGAAGGAATAAAAATGTTTGTCTTTTTAAATTTGGTGGCAATACTTTTTCATATGCCTGACTGATTCCACATTAGTAAAGCGAAAGCAAAGAATCCAGAAATAAACCTATATAACAATATGTGTTTAATTAAAAAAAAAATCTCAACCCTATCTGATACATAGGGTAACCTACGATAATTTTTTTTTTTTTTTGCAGATGTGAATTTTTTGTGATGTGAATAAAAAAAGTCAGAAAGAAATAAAAAGCTGCGATTTTCAGATTCTGCAGGTTAGCAAGGTAAACTTGTTGTTTAGAAAACTCCTTTTCTAACAAGTTTGCAACAAGTACCATAGCCTAATAGTAAAATAAAACAATTTTGGATATTCCCCTTCATTTTTTAATAAAACAAGTACACATTTTGATCAAACAAGTACTTGCATATTCTATGATCTTTAAGTTTAAAAAAGATTATCTGTAAAATTTATAT